TAATTCTGAGGTTCTCCTGTATGAAAGACTTAAAAGGGCACTAGGGAAATAGAAACAAGATTTAAAGAAGCCCAATGGGTAAATTTCAAGGATCTCAATAGGTGTGTCTTATAGTCATGATTGGGTTTTGTAGAAAGACATGCACTGAACTACATGTCTTCCACCAGAATTTAAGCAGGGGTCCTTATAACTCCAAAGGGATAATACTGAGGAAGTTAGAAATACCTTTGAGCCAGGGGAGCATTTGAATCAGAGATCCTCATGCAGGGCTGAATCTGGGCTGGCACAACTTTACTGACCCCAATGGAGCTCCGCAAGAGTAGAACAGGAAAAATAAAACAGTCATATTCTTCCAAGGTCTGCCCACTTGAGATACCACTCACTAGACGAGTGTGCAGATGTTCCAAATACGTCCTCCATGCTCTGCTGGGCTATGACTTGGTTTTCCCTCTGTGCAGATCAGGTACCTGTTAGGATCTGCTAGCCTAATGGGCTTGGCTCCTCCTCGATTGTGGAGCTGGGGGGGAAGAGAGGCACCAACTCTTCCAAATGTTACCAATTAATGGCATCACAAATTATGTCACTTGAAGTTCACCATGCAGATCTTCATAACATGATCTTCCCTCTCCTTCCCTACAAGCTTTGATCAACAGTGAAAGACAACATTCACATTTAAATTTATTCTCATTCAGCAACCAAGTTAACACTTCTTTGAGATGAGCAGTCACCATTTAAGTTCCTCTCAGAGCTTTTAATTCAGGTTCTCTGCATGAGCAGGCAGAGCTCTCTATCTGCTACATTTTGACTTTTTTTTGTTTTTTGTAACCAAGGTGAGAGAGACTTTTTAAAAAAGAGGAAGCTAAAATTTGGCGCATAAGATTACAGTTGGTAGTAACACTGCACATACACAGCCACCCTCCCAATTTAAACCCTGGTGCTTAGCGAATTTTACCTACAGAGCGAGTCATTCCTTCCCCTCCCACCCCCCACCCCAAATTTACATCTAGTCTGTCTTTCTTCCAAGAACATCATCTTTGTCAGTGTTCAACACCACTGTGCTGAAAGCCTTCGGACCCTCTGGATGGCTGACATTTGTCTAATTCCTCAACAGGCTCTGTGCATTGGAAAGTGAACTGAACTACAATGACAAGCTGAAACAATATACAAAGCAGAGATATTTTTAATTACGTATTTCATATCCATGATATTGAACATGTTAGCCATCCATCAAATTCTCTTGGTTAACATTTTTTTCTCTCATTTCTATAAGAAGCCCTCTTCCATACAAAGACCACAATGAACTACTTTAAGAGGCTCACTGATGAATGGCAAAAGCATGTTAGAGAAAACAAAAGGATTTCATAAAGCCATTTGTAAGTCAAAGGCAAATAATTGTGATAACATTCATGTGAATCTGAAGTTACAGTGACAATACAAAACAACACAGTATTAAAACAATCAAATTAGTAAACCCAGAGAGGGAAAAAAACAAGCAAATGGGCCTTTTAGTTTAAGAAAAAGAACCCTAACATTTTCTGGAATAATATCAGGTTCATTTTACAATCACAAAGATTTTACATTTGAGGTATCTGCACTCAGAGCACCAAGTAAGTTGCAGTATTGTGGTTCCGCTTTTTCTGCTTAGCTAGCCTGGCTGAAAATCATTCCCGCAACGTCCAATATCCCAACAGCTATGAATTTGGGGTGGTTTGGTTTTCATTATTTCATCTCACTAACTAGAAAGTCCATATATCTTCACAATTCTTCCCAATCTGCATGACTCCTTCTCTTCTCAAGTTCATCAAACAAAAAGGTTTACTTTATACTGCATTTTGTATACTTAAAGAGTAATATTATAAAAACATAAGTAGCTGTTTGAACCTTCAGATGATACTACATATTGTGTTTAAAATACAATACACAGAGAGTTTATTTTAAAACCTATAGAAAAGTAATCAGAAACAGTCAGTTGTATTTCACTGTTTTATTATAGTTTCCATGTGTTTTAGGCTAAAAGTTAGAAGGCACCTGAAAGAAGTTGGCACCCTATTTGCTCTACTTCTAATCATATATATGTGGGTAAAGGGGCTATTATGTTTTAATAAAACTCTTTTGCTATTTAAATGCATAGGTATAAGAAAGAATTAAACAGCTGCTACTATAAATTTTGTCCTTGCGTTGTAAAGATGTCAAAAGTGTATGAAAAAAAGTAGAAAAATACACTTCAGATTAAACAGGGGTGAATAGATCACTATTAATTCATCCTTTAAAAACAGGCATACATTGTGGCACTATGAACATTTAAAATCCTAATATTTATGAAGATACTTCCAACAGGTTATAAGTGCAGTATGCTAGTCACCCCAAGTCTCCTCATAATCCCACTGAAGTCAATGGCAAAATTCTCATTGACTTCAATGGGAACTGAGTCAGGCCCCAGTTGTTTATGAAAATATTTCCAGTAGCGTATGTTTTATGGCAACATGTTTGTGATAATACTTTAAAATGTATCATTTACATGTTTTGATTCAGTAACTTAAAAACCACAATCATGGCACTTATGACTCCAGTTGTAAAAATGCTGGATAGATTTGATATGGAAGTAGTAACCGAACAAAATGGATTCAGGTCAAAAGAAAATTTAAAAGTTTAAAAAGAAAGTTTAAAAAAAGTCTGCAGTTAAACTCATTACTCAAATTAATGCAACTTAAGTAGTTATAAAACAAGTTTGTAAAGTTCTAATTTAGCTGAATACTTCTGACATGAAATTCTATGAGTAAGAAAGATCATAAACCAATAGCTTAGAAATGGCCAAAGAGAAAGAGCCAGGTATCAAAATGACCTTTGTATCACCATATTTGTATATATTACATTTTCATATATTCATTTGGGTTCTAAACAGTTCAAACATTTAGCCACAAATTGCTGACAACACGGGCCATAATAGATCAACAGAAGGGCAATATTTTGGTTGTAAAAAGTTACTTTGAAAAAAACCAAGATATTACAGAACTGAAGAAATACAGCATGACTGCTGCTAGTAGCTCAGTTATGAAAGTATACAGCTAAGTTAATTACTATTTTTATCAAGATGCATTATAAAATGATGACTGAAATATGGTAAATAAAATCAGTGAAAATCTAGATTGCTTTGAAATTGTTATTAGAAAAATATTCTAATTATAAAAATAATTTGAATGTCAGCACAGAACAATCTGTGCATTTATTTTTTCTTACAGGAAGTCTCAAATTTAGATTTTTGAAAGGAGGTTTGTTAAAAACATAACATATTATTAACAGTGTCTATATAATTTAATACAGAATTAGACACATGCAACATAAAACAGTAAATTAAAAGTGGTTAATAATTTCTGTAAATATCATTACAGAAGATCACAATTTTAGGTATTGTATAGCTGGCTATAGAGAAAAGAAGAACAGGAGTACTTGTGGCACCTTAGAGACTAACAAATTTATTAGAGCATAAGCTTTCGTGG